AATTAAGGGGTGGTTAGAAAGGGTTGGAAGTTCGCAAGGGCGGTTTTTTGACACGGCATTATGTCGGCTGTACCTAGGAGAGTACTCCCCTAAATTTTCAGCCGGATCCGACCCCCCAATCGGTCAGGGGAGCGTCACAAAGCAACCTCTGTTTCCTAACCACACTGCGAAGTGGGGTGTCGCGATGCGTTAGGCCCCACAGCTCACGAACCGTTCGTGATCAAGGTTTGCGCTTTCAGGGGTCTGATGCCAACATATGAGCCTATCTTCCTGCCAAACGGCAACCTCCTACCTAATCACACTTCGAAATTACGCCCTGTCAAAAAAGTGGCGCTTTAATTTTGCTCACGAGTGTATATTGTCACCATGGCGTGCGCGTCGCGCGGCCTGGCCTGGCGTGCCGCGGCCGCGGGGGCCCCTCCTGTTATGTGAACTCTCATGAGATTGTCTGGCGTGTCCGTGTCGATGGCCCCCCGCCGCCGCTGCTGCTGCTGCTGCTGCTCCACCTGGCCCGCGCTGCTGTGGCTTACCGCCCCGCCACGCCCGCCCCCGCCTCTCGGTGCACGGCACGGCGGCCACGTAAGAAAGAACACCGTTAGCAGAACGCTCTGCTCTGCTCTGCTCTGCTCTACGCATTCCACCTCCTCATCTCTCGCGTTTCGTGTTGAACGCGCCGCGCCGCCTTTTATGCCTTTTTCTACCTTCTATCCGCCGCATGTATTCCGGCCCCTCTCTGCCTGTTGCTCGTGTAGTGCGTGCGCATGTGTGTGTCTGATGTGTATGTTCCCGTTTTGCCTTTTCTATCGGGTGTTGGAGCAAATAGCGTTTTTATCTGGCCGCATGCGTGCACGTTTTGCCCCGCCCAGCCGCCCCGCCGATTCGACCGACTCGATCGAGAAGCAAGAGTCTGACCGAGGCTAACTGAAGGGGGCGGGGCGGGGGCGGGCCGTGCTGCTCTATTCAACTAGTTCTGTCCCGTGCCTGGCTGGGCTGGGCTGGGCTGGTATGGTTTCTGCCCCGCACACGATCGGTATAGAAATGATGGGAAACACGAAGCCTCGGCAGTGCCGAGCGGGAGTGCCGTTGTGGTGTCGAGCGCAGAAGGGATCACGCCGTGCCCATCTCTCTCTTTCGCTCTCACTGGTCCTGGTCGGTGCGGGGCGCGGAGGCTCTCTCTCTGTCCACTCGCTCACGTCCATCACAATGTAAGCCGCTGCTGGCTGCTGCAGCAGGTCGAACCTTGGCCGTCGCGTCGGTCGTTGTGCTCGGCTCGCCGCGCTATGCCGCCGCGCGCTTCATGTGACTGGCATTGACCAGAGCTGACTTGAAACTCGAGCTTGCCCGCCCCGCCCCGCCACTCCATGATGCATGGGCGGGGCGGTCGCGTGCTGCGTTTGGGCGTGTGACTGACTACCTTGCGTCACCGCCGCGG